CCTGCAGATGTGAGCTTAAGGTCATCTCTCTCAATGTTCTGGCACTCGACTCACTTACCCAGCAGGTTCACATTGGTAGGCAACGAGGCCAACGAACTGCACGTCTTGACCTGCTATGGCACCAAGAGCAAGCGCACATCATTGGACTTCAAGAAGCCAGAACTCTTCCTGGTAGACATGTGACTGACCATTTTCTCATTTTCGCTTCTGGCTTTGAAGACTCTTCAGCCCCGAGATTCGGTTGTGAGATTTGGTTACACCGTACTCGACCGTTTGTGGTTCTCCCGGATGGGTCCCATGTTTGCGCTCAGGACTTCAAGTTTGCAGTTGTTCACGCTGACCCTCGTAGATTACTCTTACGTGCTGACCATCCCTCATGCTCATTCACTGTCTCAGTTTTGCATGTCCCTTGCCTAGGAAAGACCAAAGGTAACGGTCATCGTCCCATTGACGATATTGAGAACTGGTGGCAGGAAACTTCTCGCATTTTTGATGGTTGTGCACCCACAACTTACCATTGGGTTTGTATCGATGCAAATGCACCGTTGGCTTCGCAAGCGACTCCCTGCTTTGATCTTGCTCATGCTGAACCTACTAATCCACAGGGTACGTTGTTTGAGGATTTCCTTCTGAGGCACAGTTTGGCTGTTCCTGCCACTTTTTCACACTTGCATTCAGGTGACTCATGGACATGGACACACTCTTCCGGGGCTCGCTGCCGGCGGGACTACGTGCTGGTTCCTGTGTCACTTTTGCCTTGTGTGCAGGACTCTTTTACTGTGGCTTCCTATGATGGTTCGTTCTGCCATGAAGATCACATCCCGACCGGAGTCCATTTCGCTGCGTATCTGCCGTCAGCCACATCCAAGAGGCGGTTGCTTTGGGACGAAATGGCTTTCTTGGATCCTAGTAACATTGCCCAGTTTCAGGATGCTCTGAGAACATTGCCATTGCCTACATGGGATGTCAAGGTGACCGACCATTGCCACATCTTTGAAGATCAAGTAGTGCAGCTAGGTCAACAGTTTTTTGGTAAGAAGACCAGCAAGCGTGCACGTCCTCAGCTTACTGCCGCCACGGTTCAGTTGATTGCTTTCAAGCGCCATTTGCTGGATGTTGGACGAGCCTGGAATCTTATGACTGACTCAGAGTTCAAACAAGAACTGAAGCAAGTTGAAAAGGTTGTTCGTACCGCCGTCCATTCGGACCTTGCCAATTTTTATGATCAACTGCTTGTTCGTCTCCAGCATGCTGATCAAGCTGCAGATGCGAAGCAATTGTACCGCATTCTTGACCGACTTGGGAGCAAGAAGGCCAAGCAAGGCGGTCCCCGCCCTTTGCCCATGTTGAAGGGGCTCAACGGCGCAAGTCTGCAGTCTTTTCAACAACAGCAGCAGGTATGGCTTAAGCAATTTGCCGAAGTAGAAGCGGGAGTCCCTTTGACATGGACTGCTCTATATGATCTTTGCCGACCGGGAATTTCCAGAGTTGATTTTGAGCTTGACCCTCAAGCCTTTGTCTCTCCGTGGCAACTGATGCAGGCCATCCGTAAACTGCGTCGAGGTAAGGCATGTGGTCCCAACGGCATGCCTCCGGATTTGCTGAAAGCAGGTGGATCCACCTTTGCCATGCAACTCTCATGCCTGACGAACAAGGTCATCGCACATGTGCATGAGCCAACCTCTTGGCGCGGGGGTAAGTTGATCCCTTTGTATAAGGGTAAAGGAAGTCCGCATGAGCCTACTTCCTTTCGCTCAATCTTTATCTCTGATTTTACAGCCAAGGTTTATCATGCCTGCCTGCGTAAACCTTTAGAGCAGAATTGGTCGGCAGGGTTGCATTCCATGCAATTCGGCGGCAGAGCGGGATGCGGTGTTGACCTGCCGCATCATTTTCTCCAGATGCATCAGTGCTGGGCGCGCCACTTTAAAAAGCCTGCAGCGATTGTTTTCTTTGACATGAAAGCGGCCTTTTACTCCGTTCTGCGGCAAGCCCTCACCTCCTGTAAGGACACTTCCAATGCTTTTCAGTTTGCAATGCACCAGCTTGGGCTCAGCGATGCTGAGGTTGGAGACATCCTGCAGGCAGTAGCACATGAGAATGCGGTTGAGGGCGTCACCCAGCACGTTGAAAGACTTGTCCATGATACCATGTCAAGCACTTACTTCACAGTCGAGGGCATTGACTCGCCTGTTGCCACTCACAAAGGTACCAGACCCGGTGATCCGATTGGTGATCTCCTCTTTAACCTCACGATGAGTCAGAATCTGGCAGAAATGAAAGATCTAGTCATTCAATCTGATGTTGCAGAGTGGTTTGGTGATCCCTCTCAGTGTAGCGACTTTAGTAAGCCTGATGATCTCCCGTCCAAAGGGTTCGCAGATGTCTCATTTGTTGATGACTGTGCAGTTGCGATCCATGCCGAGGATCTGTCCCAACTGCAAACTATCGCTCAGCAAGTTGTCTCTGCAATGCATGTGGCAGCTCGGCGCAGAGGGTTACATCTGAACTTTGATGCAGGAAAAACTGAGATGCTGTGGCATGTGCAAGGCCGTGGCTCCAAACAACTCAAGCAACATTTGATGGCCACTCACCAAACAATCACATGGACCGCTCATGGAGTTGACTTTGCCTTAAGAGTTGTGCAGACGTATAAACACCTTGGAACATGGCTTCAAAGTGGGGGCTGTTTGCTCAAAGAAATCCAGACCCGTGCTCATGGAGCTAGGTCGTCCTGGGGCTCCCTCACCAGGCAGTTCTTTGCCAAAAAGTACGTCTCCACTCCCACTAAGGTAAAAGTTTTTCGTGCCCTTGCTGTTTCCCGTCACATGTTTAATGTCCACACGTGGAGTACCATTAAGCCTGCTGACCTTGACAAATGGGCCAATTCTATCCGACAGCCCTTGTGTTCGTTAGCCAAGACTGCTACCAAGGGCTTTCCTCCGCGCTTGTTTGATGTGGCTACGTTAGGAGGATTGATTGGTTTGGAGACTCCTCAGGACCGCCTACATGCTGCACGCTTGAGGTATTTCTCACGGCTCATTCGGCAGTGCCCGGGTTCCCTCTGGAGCCTCATTTGTCACACTCGACATCTTCCCGGCACATGGGGCGCTTTGCTTGCAGACTCTTTCACATGGTTTTGTACCTTTTATGGGCCCGGCTGGAAGCTTGCACCAGATGCGCCGCTTGACCAGTGGGTGCTTGCAGTTCAGACAGATTTTGCCTGGAAAGGACGGATTAAATCTGCGCTGAGAAAGAGTTGCCGCTATCGTCAAGCTAAGGCCGAACATGCAGTGTGGCAAAAGGCTTTTGACCGTAGCTTCCATGATGACACAGGCCTTCCGGTCCACACCCTCGAAACCGATGACCCTAGATGGCAATGCGACCAATGTGATAAGTGGTTTGCTTCAAAAAAGGCCTTAGCCACCCACTCGCAACGGGTGCATGGTTACCGCAGATTGGTCCGTTTCTTTGCCTCAGGCGACACCTGTCCGGCTTGTTGTAAGCTTCATCATTGTCGCATGCGTCTATGCCAGCACCTTACCCACAGTACTGCTTGTATGGAAATTTTGCAGGCTTGTTTCTTGCCTATGGCCGATGCGGAAGTGGAGGCACTGGATCGCTTGGATGACAGTGTGACCGCAGAGCTCAAGAAACAGGGTTGGTGGCGTACAAAGGCTCTCCTTCCTGCCTGTCGAGCCTTTGGACCTATGCTGCCGCCTGCCAACAGTGACGCTGCCCGAGACCTCTATGCGCGTTGTGTTGCTCGCTCTCAACCTGCTGGACAAGCGTTCACTCATTTACAGGGTCGCATGGTGGCAAGCGATCCGGTTGCACCGGTACCACCTTCTCCCTGCCAGCAAAATGCCATCGGATTTGTCTTTCAGTCCGAACAAGGTACCCTTGATGGAGCAGGGCTTTTCCTCCGAGATGGGTTGCCTGCCTTGACTATGAGGATGAACTTGAGAACATTGGTTTTCGTACATTTCTTCAGCGGTTTCCGCCGACGGCATGATTTGCACGACATTCTGTCCCATCAAATCCTCCCTGATGGATTGCAGATCTTTGCATTATCGGTGGATATGTGCCTTCAGAAGGCAGCTGGGGATTTGGCTTCAGACGCGTCATTGGCTTTCTGGCGTAACCAAGTTCTTTGTGGCCGCATTTTCGGAGCAGGCGGTGGTCCGCCTTGCGAGACGTTTACGTCCGCAAGACTTTCTGAGGATGGTCCTCGGGCAGTTCGCTCGGCTGCCGACTTGACTGGTTTGCCGTATCTTTCGGCTCGTGAGTGGAGACAGGTTCTCATTGGAACACGTTTGGTCCAGTTCATTCTGGATATTTTGTTTTTGTTGGCACGCACTGGAGGGTGTGGATTTTGTGAACATCCACAGTTTCCAGTGTGGTGTGCTTCCAAAGCGCCGTGCAGCATTTGGTCTTTCGAAGCCACCAAGAAGATGCGACAATTGCAATGTGTATCCATTGTCTCCTTTGATCAGTGTGTGCTTCACGCACCGATTAAAAAACCAACCACTTTGCTTCTGGTTAGGCTATGGGATTTCAGAGCAACTGTTTTGGCTGCAGGCAGAGCTGGCAGATGCGCCCATGGTCGGAACGCGCACGAGAAGTTGATCGGTCGTGATTCCCAGGGCCAGTTTAGAACCGCGCGTGGCAAAGTGTATCCGCCCCATATGAACTGGGCGCTTGGGCATGCTATCAGGTGTTACGTTGAGAGGACATTTCCGAGTGCTGAGTCCCACTCCGTCACTGATATGCTGCCTGAGATTTTCCAGCGCTATGCAGAAGAGGATTTTGTTGCCTGTGACCAGGTCTAACCGGACTACCATGGCTAAGGCGATCGTACAGCACCTCTGCAGGCGCTTTGTTCACAGCGTTGCAAGACCGAGTGCACCATGCACAGTATCGCGAAAGTGAAAAGTAACCCACCAACCATTGACTTTCATATTTTTCCAGATGGTTATTGCACCACCAACCAGACCGAGGAGTTGGAGGTCTCCAGTCTGGGTTCCTTGGCCTGTAGCAGTCGTCACTTCCGCGCGCAGCTGTGCAACGAGGACGCCTGGCGTCAGGCGGATTTTTTTGGGCCAAGGGGAGGATGAATGGCTGATTGAAAAGGGCTGATTTGGGGATTTCGGAGCCTCATTTTTGCCATGTTTTTTTCTTCCATTGATGGTTGGTTTATGGTGATTTCTTATTGGATGTCGCCATTCTGAATCGGAATACGTATGTATGTATATATATATATATATATTTGTATGTACACAAATAACTATACATAACATAAAGATAGTTATATGTATGTGTATATATGTATGTGCATATTCTCCTTCCGAGGATACCATTGGCTGTGGCATGTGACGACCATGGATCACCCAAAGCTTGGGCTGGTTCACCATCGGGAAAGTGACACCACCAATCAGCCCATATTAGAATAATCTCCAACATCCACTAGCCTAACACTTAAAGCATCCAGGTGAGAGTCAGTTCAGTGGTGAAACCTGTCCTAAGCGCGGCGAAGCGGCAGGCGTTATGTGCATTTGGTGCTGCCAATGTTCAGCAGCTTCGAGGCGCTTGTGAGTTTCTGTAGCACCGGAGGATTCATCCCTAGGTCGAAAATTCCATGAACTTCCCCCCCTGGTTGGTGGTGACTGGAACCATGGAATTTTATGACTTTCCATATATCGACGAACTCAAATTTTTTCAGAGGGGTAGGGCTCAACCAGCAACCAGCTCTTGTTTTTTTTCCCCAAGATTTATGGCATGTCCGACCCAAACAAATCGGTAACAGCAGGCATGTTGGCCCTCTCGGCCCCTCGCTGGCGGAGCCTACATGGTGGAGATAAACAACCACGCGCCAGAGAAGCTGGGGCCAAAACCGGATGGGAAGTTTGATCAAACACGGCAAACCTGTTGGTGATTAATGGTGATTAATGGTGATTAATGATGGTGATTAATGGTGATTAATGATGGTGATTAATGGTGATTAATGATGATTTCACTTACCCTCTGGTAAACGTTTACATAACGAACTGGAAAGATCCATCATGCTGTTAATGGATAAATTCCAACTATTTCGACTGGGCCATGGCTTCAATAGCTATATATGTTTGTTTACCAGAGGGTCTAAGCAGCAACATATGGGGTTAGCCATGAAAAATGGGGCTAAACCTAGTGGATGGGGCCCAATTAGCCGTGAAACATGGAACAACCATGGGGGTTTAGTAGGGTTTAACGAAAACAACATATGGGAAACAACCATCATGTCTCGTAAGTACTCATCTTGTGCCAAATGGGGGTATGCTACCTTAACATTTCTTTGGGTACGTTTCGAAACAAATCCAAGACTGGGAGGACTTGGGTGAAACGATTCATGATTCAGGGTGAAAGAGTTGTACAAACCACCATAAAAATATCCATAAAAATGAATCATATCCGTCATATCCATCAATTCCAATCGCCCAACCCTGGATAAACCAACATAACGGACATCCACTTTTTGCCATGGGAAAACCCAACCGTTTGTTGTGATGAATTTTCCACCACCAGCGCCCACCAGTTCTTTCTCAGTGAGGATCACCACATTGCCTTTGGGGCCTCGGCGGGGCTCATCATTTTCGGAGGCTGGAAGTCGTCCTGATTGGCCAAGGGACGAGTTCGTCCCAAGATTTGAGATGATGCCCAGTGACGAATGGAAATCTCCATATTTTTCAGGTGTCAATGTGGCAATGGAGTAGCAAAAATCCATGGTAAAAGTCCATGGTTTCCGGTTCAGATTTTCCCGTGATTTCACCCATCCATTGTGAAAAATGTGGCAGGAAACGACTTCACCCGGGGTCACATGATGTCAGACGCCTGGTTGCTGGATGTGAAGACTCACCAATGGCACCTGGTAGCCACTGAGGGCTGCAAAAGACCATCGCCAAGGTGAGGGTTCGTTCGGGTTGCGGCAACGGGACTTGAAAAAAAGGCCCGGTGTTCAGAAAAGAACTTGAAGAAATAACTCAACTTGATCTTTGGAACATGATTTGTATAACCCAACTAGATCTTTTCCATTCTTTTCCTGGAAAGTTTTTTTGTATACCCTCTGGTAATTTAACATAGCTATTGAAAATGACCATTTATAGTGGATTTTCCCATTAAAAATGGTGATTTTCCATAGTTATGTTAAATTACCAGAGGGTATACACAATTTGGCTGGTGGTTTGGAACATTGGAAATAGTCATCCCAACTGTCCAAAACATATTCTTCAGAGGGGTAGGGCTCAACCACCAACCAGTAATTGTTTTGATAAACCATATGATTCAAGATCATTAACCATTAATAATAACATATAACCATATAATAACCATTAATAATAACATATAATAACCATTAATATTAACCATATATTAACCATTACAAACCATATAATAACCATATATTAACCTTATATTAACAGTATATTAACTATATAAATCATCCCCAGGTTTATCGCTTGATCTCCCCCACAGGCAGGGATGACCTACCTGGGCTCAGTGACTTGGCCCAGGACCTTCAACGCCGACGGCGGCGGTGGAGGGATCCTCCGGGACCAGAAGACGCAGCGCGAGTGGATGGTGATCTACGGCGGCCTGCGAGGCGGGTTGGGAACGGAGGTGAATCATAGGAAAAGTGGGTGGACAATGGTGGACACACCATGATTATTGATATACATATATATATATACATATCACATATATCACATATATCACATATATCTATTACATAGTACATACATATATATATATATATTATATTATATTATATTATATTATATTATATTATATTATATTATATTATATTATATATATACATATCACATATATCACATATATCACATATATCACATATATCACATATATCACATATATCACATATATCACATATATCTATTACATAGTACATACATATATATATATATATTATATTATATTATATATATACATATCACATATATTTATTACATAGTACATACATATATATATAAACATACATCATAATATATATATATATGTAACGTATTTGGTATAGTTGTAAAAAATGCAGAATCGACCGGCGACTCTCCCCATATGTTTTTAACACCCAATTTGAAATTACCATATATTCCTTATATAATGGTCATTATGTTCCCATGAATAATAAATTTGGTCCGCAAAATAATCATAGTCAACCATTATGCGTAAATGAACCTAATTCCACTTTTAATAAAACATATTTTTCATAATCATAGATGAAAAAACATCATGTGCATTATATAGATATAGATACATACATCGCAATTCCATCCCATTTCATCCCCATTCTTCCCACATTTTGAAAATGGGTGAAGCTTTGTTCCCATCCTTGGTGATCACCCTTGGAGTATTCCCATAATTTAAGCATAAATATGTATTATATAGATATAGATATAGATATAGATACATACATCGCAATTCCATCCCATTTCATCCCCATTCTTCCCACATTTTGAAAATGGGTGAAGCTTTGTTCCCATCCTTGGTGATCACCCTTGGAGTATTCCCATAATTTAAGCATAAATATGTATTATATAGATATAGATATAGATATAGATACATACATCGCAATTCCATCCCATTTCATCCCCATTCTTCCCACATTTTGAAAATGGGTGAAGCTTTGTTCCCATCCTTGGTGATCACCCTTGGAGTATTCCCATAATTTAAGCATAAATATGTATTATATAGATATAGATATAGATATAGATATAGATATACATACATACATAACCGCCATGAAATCCCATTTCATCTCCATTATTCCCATATTTTGATGTCTCATTTCCATATTTTCTAGGTGAAGGCTACCGCGACAACGAAACCTGGCTCCTGGGTCCCCTGGAGTCTGACTGTGCTCTGTGGCGATGGCAAGAGATCGAAGAAGGCTCGTTTTTTGGCGGAAAAAACTGTGACAAAATGGAGGTTTTCATGGGAAAATCCGTGAAAAAATGGAGGTTTCAATATTTTTAATGGGAACATCATCTATAAATCGTGGATTCTCAGGGGGTAACACTAGGTTTCATGTGGTATAAGTGTGGAACATAGCGATTAAGTCAATAAAAACATGACTTAAAACCAACAACAAATATATGTGACCAACACAAAGGTGGTTTCATATGGTTTCGTGTGGTTTGATCATGAAAACATTGGATGTAACAACCAAAAAACATGGAAGTACGACACATGCGTATACAGTTATATATATATACATATACACACATATACATATATCTATCCATATATAATTCATCAATGTCCCTCACATTTCTCCAATCTTCATAGCCTACCCTTCCCTGCCTCTACTTGGCCAATGATGGGACCTCAACCAGGAGGTGGTCCACAATCGCGGCTTCGCCCCACGCCCCGCTTCCACCACACGCAGACCGTGCTGGGGTGCCGTGGCAAGGTTGGAGGAAGCAATGCGACGAAAGGAGGGGAAGGAGCCGCAAGTTCTGGTACAGTTGGGGTTCTGTTTTTGGATATACCCTCTGGTAAACTAACATAGCTATGGAAAATCACCATTTTTGATGGGAAAATCCACTATTTAAATGCCATTTTCAATAGCTATGTTAAATTACCAGAGGGTATAACTATGGTAATAAGCTCCAGAAGTTTTGCATATAAGCCACACAAAATTATGGTGAAATCTACGCCACAAAAAAGAGTAGAACTGCACCCCAAGTAGTGGCCATTGAGTCATGGTGGCTTTGGCATGGCAATTCCAATGGGGATCTTTTTCTGATCAACCCCTTAGAATCTACAAATCGAACGCAGTTTGATCATGGATGGCCGTAAAAACGGGCGCCAAGTGTGAGCAACTGTGTTTGGGTTTTGGGTTTTGACCTCGGGAGGTCAGAAATTCCTTGGAACGTCCTGATTGTAGATACTTCTCTTGCAGCTGAACGACAGTGGGGGTTGGTCATTTCGAGAAGACTTCAAGAATTCCCTTGTTGTGATCACGGTGTTGCCTCAAAAATGGGCTCCGTTCATCACCAGCCAGCCGATGTCCGTCCCATCCCTGTGCTCGGAAAAAAACAAATGAGGGTCCCCAGTGGTGTTTTCCTGGACCATTTCTCCTGCATCACAAGCAGATGATTTTGTAAAAGCACCTCACATAAAACACACATGTATCATAGATATATACGACAGCATTGCGGCCCGAGTCAAAAGGGAGTTTGAGTCGCTGGCTTAACGGTTTTTGTCCTTTGTTTTAGGTTTATCAGTCTATCTGGGGATAATAAGTATTACCCCTGCTGAAACCTGAAAATACAGGTTATCAGCCGTAGTCTCTAAAGCCATGGACAAGACTCATGATGCAACAGGTGGCGGTGCCCTCGTACCCTCTACTGGAACTGTAGCTGCATCAACTGGTTCTCAGCAGAGCTTGCCGGCTGGGACAAACCCCACGCCCATGTCAGTGGATGAAGGTTTCTTCACACAGCCCGTGCAAGCCTATTTCCAGTTCGTGCAAAACAATCTTACCTACATCAACGAAGGTAACATTGATGCTTTCAGGCAAGAGGCGGAGGAGAGGCATACACATCTCATGGAACAAAAGGTCCAGCAACTGTACCAAGAGTTTGAGGGAATTTGCCTTAGCGAAATCGCCCATCAACGTGCAGAAGCTGACCGCAGACATGAACACCTAGTGTCAGAGTATTCGATGTCCCAAACGGCAACTGAGCATGAGATAGCGAAACTGAGACAGGAACTTAGCGATGCAAACGCAAAGCTGAAAAACGCTGCAAATGCAGTTGCACTGGAAGCTGAGCAAAGAGCCAACCAAAAGGTAGCCCATGTTACAGCCCAGTATGAACAAAGGTTTTCTGAACTCAGAGGTAGCCTCGAGGCAGACTGTAAACGAATCGTGGACGAAACAGTAGAGTACGCAAAGAACGGCATGGAAGGTTTCAAGAAGGAGGAACAAGCTGTAATCCAGGAGATTAGAGAGGAATGCAGTAGGCAGGAAAACCAAGCTGCTGAACTCAACTTTCAACTGCAGGGACAAGTGGAGGATTCGATGGAGAAGCTCAACAAGTACAGCGCCCCAGAAATCAAGGTCGACAGAGCCGTCGAAGTTGATGACGCACAAGGCGGGAACAATGTCGATTTGTACTTGACCCCAAAATCAGCGGTCGGTACCAAGGCTGGAGCAGAACCCATGCCAAACACTGGCATGAGCAGCTTAGCCATGGACGCCAAGGAAAGGTTGAGCAACTTATTCTCAACAACCCCTGCCGGATCAGCAGCACCTCCAAAACTGCCACCATTGCCAGTTCAAAGACAAAATGATGATGATGCAAATCAAGAGCATAGTGTGCCCAGTCCTACAGCAATAGCAAGCGACACAGGCAAAAAAGCTGCTGATGCAGGCTTAGGTCTTTCAGGTCAACAATTGCTAGATCTCATCACTAGACTGACTTCAAAGGATTCAGATGGTGAAAAGCCCCGAACAAAAGAGGCAGAGACTATCAAACTAAACGACATGCCTGCCCCAGAAGCGTATCGTCACTGGCGTAATCATGTCAGGGATGAAGTGAAGTCGTGCTCCGACAAACCCGATGAGGCTTGGCTTTGGCTCAATGAAGTCTTTGACAACAAAACTCCTAGGGAAAAGTTGGAGGAAAAGCTGCAGGAACCTGGGAAGTTCATCACACTCGACACCAAATTGTCGGCAGCGTTAACTCGCTCGGCCAAAGGTGATTTAGCAACGAAGATCCATAACTTCAAAGATGAGAAGTCAAAGAAAGGGATCCAAGTCAGAGGTAGGAGAGTCCTTTTGATGTTTGAAGATTACTTCAGGACGTCTGAGGAAGCTGGCAGTCTCTACCGCGTCGAGGACCTACTTGGAGTCGTTCGCACTGGAGAATCTGTGGAGGACCTTAGAAGGTTTCTAAACCGATGGGACGCCACGATTGCCGGCATGGAAACCCCGCCAGATGACTTGGTTCTTAGAGACATCTTGCTCAGACAAATCCGAAAATGTCAATTGATGAAGTATGACATTGAAGCATTTGACAGAGCTCCTGAAAAGTCAGAACAAAAGTCTTATGCATTCTTGTTGAGAAACATTCGTGATCTTTTGGATAGAGAAAGACTCCGTTCAAACAGAAACAGAATCGTTGAAAAGAACAAACAGACCGAAAAGCCTCAGCCCGCTGCACCCGCTCAGGGGGGCAAAGATCGCGGCAAAGGAAAGGGTGATCGAGGTCGATCCCGTGGTCGTAGCCAGAGTGGAAAAGGGGATAAGATATGTTACAAGTTCAGGGATGGCAAGTGCGAAAAGGGTAAAGACTGTCCCTACAAGCATGTCAAGGATTCCTCAAGATCTGGTACCCCCAAAAAGAAGGGTAAGGGCAAAGGCGGTAGCAGAAGTGGTTCCCCTAACAGAAAGTCGAAGGAAGAGATGGCCAAGATCCCATGCACTTACTTTCAACAGGGCAAATGTCGTCGTGGTGACAAGTGTTTTTACAAACATGAAGTTGCAGCTGCACACACAAAGGATCCAAAACGCACCAATAGCCCTGCACCAAAGAAGAAGGCCAGTGCAAAAGCTGCGCCATGCATTACTCAAAGGTATGCATGCATAGCAAAGGGAAAAGGGTTGCCGAAAGCTACAAAGGCCATGAAAGAACAATGCCATAGAGCTGTTGTGTTTTCATCAAAAGTGGAATACATCAAAGTCCCAGCAACAGGTGAACAGAGAAAGGTAGTGCACAGACCCCGAATCTATGAGAAGACGTTCCCTGATTCAGAGTCAGTGCCAAAACCCGATAAACTCATCGCTCACCGTGCTCAGGTTTCGGCACGACAGTTGCAGGAACTTGTGAAGCTCTTTGGCAGTGAGACGCAGCCCAAATGCCGATTCCGATGCAATGACCCAGAAGGGGGAGTATCATGCAACCACTGTAGAGCAATGATCGGTCCCAAGAACAAAGTCAGTAACACTCATTTGCCCACTGTTGCTACACCGGCATCAAAAGATGGATGTGTTTGGTTGGTTGACACGGGTAGTGAACAGGATTTGATCAGTGAGGGTATGCTGAAGACCGCAAAGGCGACAAACCGCCGTGTCAGCGATACTCCGATCAGCCTTGCTACAGCAAACGGTTCGACACGAGCGGATGAGGTGGCCGACGTAAAGGTCGATGCCCTACATCAGCCATTTTCACCATACATTCTTGAGGAAACTCCTGCTGTTCTTTCGGTTGGGGTCAGATGTATGGAACAGGGTTACAGTTTTGTGTGGCCAGCTGATGGTAGGCCTTACTTCATTCGTCCGGATATGGGAGTCATCGAGCTCAATGTGGACGGCCGTGTGCCGGTTATTGATAGCTCTTGTCGTGTTTTGAACAGTGGACAGTTCAAGAAAGATTGTGATTTGTTACGTCTTTTTGCAATGGTCGCTGCAAAAGCAGAAGGTGCCGATGAAGAAGGCGTGGACGAGGGAGTAGCTCATGATAGCGAAACCGAGTACGTCAGGTCTAGAAAGGCATCCGACCTTGAGCAAGAGGCATGCAGCAAATCTCACCAGTTTTGCCATTACCCCAAGAATCCATTTTGCAAGATCTGTCAGAAGGCGCGCATGATGGCGCCACCCGCAAAGAAGAAAGGGGGACAGAAAAGGTTGGAAACCAAAAGTTTTGGGGATCACATTGTCGCTGACCATACTGTAATCAAATCCAATGTGGAAGAAGGCGTCAAAGGTGAAACAGTGGCATTGGTGATGAAGGACATTCACACTCAGTTCAGGCACGTCTATCCAAGTCAGACCAAATCGAGTGAGTCATGTGTTAATGCCTTCAACCACTTCTTATCTCACAAGGATGAAGTTGGGGCAGTTTACACTGACAATTCACGAGAACTTATTGCTACAATTTCAGAGTTGGGGTACAGACATCAAACATCAACAGAGTACGTGGACAGTTCAAAGTCGTTTGTGGAGAGGGAGATCAGGCACATGCTTGAAGGCACGCGCACAAACCTCGTGCAGTCAGGTCTTCCATTGCAGTATTGGCCAATGGCTATGCAGCATTTCTCCATGGCAGTGAATGCCACGCCACAGCTCAACGGTGATGATGCCCCATGGAAACTCAGATTCGAAGAAGATTTTCCAGGTCAGTTGATTCCTTTCGGTGCAAAGATACTGTTTTGGAACAATCCAACAAGGGTTGACAACACATCTGGAAAGACATCACCAACTGCAAATGATGGAATCTTTTTGGGATACCATATTCAACCTGGTTTTGCATGGAAGGGTGAGTATCTTGTTGCCAAGTTAGAAGCACTGGATTACCATGCAGAAACGGGCAGCATCACAGTGCAGCGGGCACGACGTGTTGAGCTCATCGCGGGAGGTTTTGTCTTCCCACTCCGTGCATTGAAAGAGGCCA